AGGACGGGGGGTGTGGTGTCTGCACCTGTCACAACCACTTGAAAGGTCCCTGTCGCCGTGTTAGTGTTGCAGAACTTTGCCTAAAGTTGCCATCTAGCAAATGCGCATTGGTCTCAAGTGTTCAGCTTCGCCTCACATAAAGCATTGCATCCCGCTTGAGAGCCAGATTCCGACAGGCTGCGATGCTGACTGCGTCCCAAGCTGAGTTAGCTTATGCACAGTCCTGAGGCTGAACCTCTCCACGTGGTGAGCTGCAAAACGGTGGGTGCGGGCACTCTACCTTCTTCACAGACATCAATTGAGCGAAGCAGGTCTCACTGGAAGCACCGCTCCTACTTCAGGCGCTTCCACCAGTCTCAGACGCCCTTGGGCAACAGAAGGGGTGTAAGATTCGTCTTAAGCATGGCAAGCTTTTGCTTTTACAACGACATGCACTAAAAGAAGAGTTGCCAGCAGCTTGCCAGGAGCTTGCAGCTGTCCTCAATGCTCCCCAGGGAATTCCTGTGCTGTGGCTCCTGGAGGCAGAGGAGGGCTGCCGCAGAGAAGGCTGAGGCCATGCGGACCTCTTCCAAGGGCATGGGCATTCCGAGGTCTTGATCACAAGCTCCGCCTGGTGCATGCCGTGGAGGATGCAAAGGAAGTCCTAACATCACAAATGACAGATTACACATGATTACACATATCCTGAGTGGAGTTGATATCTTGCTCAAAGGTGCTTGCCCGTTGTAAGAGTCCATGCGGAATCTCCCAACCAAGCCTCGTTTTTGGCAGAATCTGCAGGATTCACTTCCATGGGATTCCCTGGACATCCCTGGAGCAGCTGAGCACAGCACGATTTCAGCATGTCCTGCACGAAGTTTCAGCTCTTGGAAGAACCACTGTACTTGTGTGCCCAAGGACCCGCTCAATAAATTTCTCCTCAGGCTCTTCAATGCGCGCCCAGGCTTCACCCGGAGCGGTCTCCCGCACAGCTCACAAGTATCCTCCAAAAGCAATACTTGGAGATTGGCCCGTACTCTGGAGTGTATGCATCGCTGAAGCCTTGCAAGTTTCATTGCAAGTGCGTCAGCCCAAAGCTTACAATTCTGACAGCTGCTGCGAATTGGCAGTGATGCTTTGCTCGCCTCTGGGTCTAGATGCCATTGTCAAGAACACAGCGCAGCACAGCGCAGCATAGCGCAGGATAGCGCAGGAAATGACTGTACTGAGGCGCGCGAGATCTCCGTGGACCTGTCTGTCGCGACTTTATGGTCCCCTTCCCTGCAGTCTTGGACCGTGCCAACATAGTATCATGCGCTCGAAGGCCGTCTTTCCGAAACAGCCGCGAGTACCACTTCAATATGAAGGAAACACAAAGATGCACCTGAAACACCTGAATCGCAACTGCGAACCTAGGCTCATACCATGAACCCAACGCACAGAATCTACAAAAGAACCCCACAACACTACACCATGATTCTTAGGAAAGCCAGGCATAGGCCCCGGCTGTGATGGCAGGGTGCTCCGTGGCCATCAATGCAATTTCCACCTGGGGAAGTCCAATCGCGATCTTGGCCCCAAACCATTGCGAGTTTTTGTAGCTTTGGGAGCAAGTGTAGCGTTGGACAGTCCATTCGAGACCCAAGAAGGCCCGACGGCGTGCTTACAGCCCAAATCACGACCATCAAAATCTTGCGCCCACCGCAACTGCAGTTTTTGGGGCTGTAGGCTGAGCAGGGCTGTCCTGCCCAGGTTGACCGACGAGGATCTCCGCTGATTTCTTCTCTGTTCTCCAAGTTTTGGGCGGCCAACCGGCATCCATGATAAAGAAACAAGATCCTGCGAGCCCGTCAACAAGCTTATCTTGTTCTCATTTGCTGCATGTTCCAGTCACTGTTCGCATTTGCTGGAGTTCAGGAGTGCTGCCTTGAATACGGATTTTCGATGTTGCAGGCGAGTCCCGACAGTTTAGGCAGGCCTCTGGACACATTGCACAGCCTCTGACATCGCTTAAGAAGCTGGACATCTGGAATCTTGCCCATTGCCCACCTGACCATCGTCCGTCAGGGGAGCGCAGTTCAAGGGCCTCAGGCAAAAAGGTTCAAGTTCATGCACTCCTCAGTGGCTTTGGGTAATCGGGCATGCATGTCCGGGTTGACGGAGAGGCCGATTCATGCAGGAAAGCTGGAGGAGCTGGGTCTTGCTTTATCCAGCGGATGCACGACGAGAACAGGCGGGCTCTGTCACACTCATTCCCGAGATGGCTGTCGCCTTTCAGCTAGGTGTGGATGCATCACATCCACTTGGTCTGCCAGCGCAGAAATTCGGCTGTGGCTCAAGACTAGAAACCGGCCCCAACCCTCAATCCGAAAACTGGAGGCAACAATGTGTTTCCACCACGGATTCGAAAATTCAATCCTGCCAGCTTGAAGCACTTTTTCTGACCTAAACATCGCCCAGGCACGGCCGAGCCGTCGCGGCTGGCGACTTCAAGGTGCACGGAACTCCCTGGCTCTCTCTGGGAACCGAAACATCACAACAGCAATTAGCAGCAAGAGTCAGAACGATAACCGTAGAAAAACCGAGAACAGTCAAGAACCCCAGTTCGACCATCTTTGCTGGTGACACATACTTTGCAATTTGGCTCGACCTGCATAGGTGTCATGGGCCACGAGAACTTTCACTGCAATCCGAGGTTGGGGTGTTTGCAGCTTTACGGATCTAAGATATATCCCTGTGGACGTCAAGACAAGCTGTACCACTGTGTCAACCGAACAGCACGGATGCAGAACTCAAGCCAGACTCTGACCGCACTCATCCCGAAGTCTCGTGCATGTCTCGCGAGCTTCCGAAACCCTTCAGCATGCACACGCACCACTCACATGACCCAAGCAATGCAGCAGACGAAGCGCTTTACCCCATTGTGCAATATAATCTTCTCCCGAAGTCCTCCACGCCGGCCGCCGACTCTACCATGTGAGCTCAGGTGTGCTGGGTCTCGAACACGTTTGCAAGCATTGCAGTTTTGGTAAGCCTGTCATGGGTGCGAAGACTTAACTCGGTGATGAGAGAACTGTGTGATCTTTCAGGACACGCAGGCAAGCTGCATGTTACTTCGTGACTTCATGAAGGTTGCGGCTGCTTGCACGAATCCCATGGCTAGACTTGGCTGCAAAAACCAGGAGTTCCAGAACGAGGCTTTGGCAATTGGGAGGTCAAGCTTCAGCTCGCCATCAAATCGTGGAGCTGAAAGGCAACGTGTGTGACACAACTTAGACTGTCAGAATGTGTTCGATCACCCCAATCGCCCCAAGACTGAAAACACTACCAAGCCCCTGCGGCGCCGGCTGCACCAGAATGATGCCCTCGATTGCTGTCGAGGCTGCCTCTAGAATGCGAGAAATCAACCGTGGGTACAATTAAAGGCTGCGTCGTCCAAAAGCATTCTCTTTGTGAAACTGTCTGTATGGGTTCCTACTGCTTTGCGTAAGCTCAAATCTGTTGGTGCAGTCCCCTTGCCTCGTTGGTTCTACTGAGTGCTGAAACAGCTCAGCGGGACAGTGGATGCGTATCAAAGTATGAGCACACTCAGCATGCGGCAGCCTGAGAGTTGAGCATGCTGCACCCGGTCGCAGCAGCTTTCGCCCAGGCCACCGATTGCAGCCGAACGAGGTACCGCAGCACCACCTTCACGTGTCGAGAATTAGTTCCGTTAAGGTGCTGAGATGTACAACAATGACAGTTGTTACTGTTGACCACGGCAGGCAAGCCAAACCGCGCCAGGAGCGGACCAGACAGCGGCAGCGAAAATGTCAAGAATGGACGAGACTGCTTGCTGCCAATGCTTTGGCTCGGCAGGGTATGAGAGCGAAGAACCACAAGACGTGCTGCCTTACAACTGAAACAGCTCCAGCATGTACTAGCCCGACCACGTCGGATTTTTTCTACTTGATGTTACTGAGACATCTGGCTCCTGGTTGCAGCAACAATCAGCTGTGGTGTTTAGACGACGCCTTGCTCTGTGCTTCTTGAAACCAAGCCCACATTTTTGGACTTGTGTCAGCTTCCAAGGGCCCAACTGCCCGACAAGCTGCCTCCATCGAAGGCCGTGAAGGCTAGCGGCTAATCAATTACAAGAAGCAGACCATGAAGCTTTGTTCAGGGTGGCAGCTCCAAGCAAGGCATCCCACTTCTCGTTCAACCCTTTCTCACCTTAGGAGGTGTAAGCCCTCGTCCGGCTAGGGCTCGGCGCCTGCCTTGCCAGCATCGTGGAGCAAGGCTTCCAGACTCACCTCTGCGTCGCTGTGCAAGCGGAGCACTCGATCACCAGGCAGCAGTAGTCGCAAAGAGTGGGCTGGTATTCCAACTTCCTCCTGTATGCGGTAGCAAAGGCTCTCCACAAAGCCGGTGGCTGCAATGTCCACAGACAATGTTGCAAGGTGCTTGCCACTGAGCTGTGTGGCAGTGATCTTGGCCTGGCCTTCTCTGGCCTCATCCTTCTCCAACATCAAGTTGGCCAGCACGGGCTTGGCATCCTCATTTACCCAGAGCTGTCGGCATTTCTGCTCCTTATCGAACAAGGACGAATCACCATCTAAAGTAATCTGCTGCTGGTACACAACTCGACCAGATTCGTCAAATAGCTGCACCGTGTGGCCACACAGACGCATCCGATGGTCATACTCATCATCAGACATGTTAAAGATAGCGAAGCTCTCCACACTGGTTGGCCTGGCTAGCTCCACCTCGAGCCAGCCATTGTCTGCATGCGCAGTGTGATTCACACGGCCCCAACGGTTGCCATCGATAACCAGACGGGCTGGTCCATACCCTTCACCAGTGCCATGCATGGAGGACTGACGAGCCTGGCCTCCATTCGCTTCCAAAGCATGGTTGATGCCATCGCACCCATAGATCTCAATCTGGTTCACATGGATAGGATTAGAAGCACTGGATTGGTTTACCCGGAGCTTCTTGATTGTGTCCCAGCCTAGCTCCTCACCCTCAGGACCCACCTGATTCTTTACGAAGCGCTTGGGAAGACCGTCGAAAGAAGTCGAGGCCATTGGCTACTGCTCCAAGGCCTCCTCGCTACAAATCTTGCGGAACGGCCACATGGCATGCATGGCAGGGACATGTTCGGCGCATGGTGCCCGTGTCGCCACCCCAAACATCACCATAAGACACACCTCATACATCCGAGAGTCTCCTCGGCATCGTCCGAGACACGGCCACCAAAGCCTAACCTGCCTCAACCTTGTCAGCAAACGAGACTCACAGGCAGAATCGCAACAGATGCAATTGCTGCAGCGTGACGTTTGGTTTAAGGCTTTCGGGCTCGGGGTTGGTCCACCCTAACTCTCTGCTGCTGGGCCCGACCGAGTCACGGGACAGGTGTGGAAACGGGTGCTCGGCGCGCCCTTGGAGTTGAAGGGGAGTCTCCAGACCCTTCCGAAACAATGTGGCTTTAGGGGGAAGGAATTTAAAGGGACCAGAAGACCCTAAAACTTACGAAACCTAAGCGGTAGAGCTCGACCCCCCGAATATGGTACCTCTAAGCTTGAAAGTTTGGGTGTAGGACAGTGTAGGGTTTAGGGCACCAGCGTGAAAAGTATGCCGAATGCATATTTTCTCAGCATGCCTCCAAAAGAAAAAAAAGGATTCCGCATGCAACCGCGCCTGCCTTGCCGGGCCGATGGCTGAGATCTGACTATTAACCTGTAGCTCTAAGCCGTCACACAGTAGCACAGCTGAAGTTCTTCTTGGGATCATGCCCGGCATTGTCGTCGACACTATGTGTCGCGCTGCTGGCAGACACTCTGCTTGAAACTACTGAAACCTTCAGCCGATGCTTGATGCAAACGGCTTTCTGGTATTAATCGACGTCCATCGATTGCACAATAGCGCGTCTGTCGGTCATCATGGGTGCCACGCCAAGGGGTGCTAAAGATGCCCGAGCTGAGGCTCTTGGGCAAGGAAGTCACCCCCGCGACGACATCACGGAGAGCGATCAAGTGCACTTCGTGCGCTGTTCGAGACAACATTCCTTCATAAACACTGAGCCACGCACACTGCTGCCGCAGTGACACAAAACCCCTCGCCGCCTAACTCCATCAGGGCATCCACTGAGGTACCAGAAACAACCAGCTGCAGCAACCTGTGATGTCTGTGTGGTCTCAGGTGCGACTGCTTCAAATTTTCAAGCCTTGGGACGAACTAAAGACCACGGATTCGGGGCTTCCGCTTAGAGACTCCGAAGTCCGAATCACAAGATGCAGGAACATGGGAGCGCGGAAGCCAGGACTGACCTACAGCAAAAGCTTGATGCTTGCCGTTCGGCATTCGACCCGATGCCAGGTGGCCAGAGGGCCCAAACTCCCTGCACTTTACAGTGTTACTCATCAGTCACGATGGGCCCTACCGACGAAACGACGGCTTGACATGTGCCCGGAACAAACCGAGCATCAGTCGACACATCTCAGAGATGAGTTCCATCTCGAGCTGGAATGATAAATATCAGGGTGAGATTCCGTACGCTGACTTCAAGGGCCGGGTCTTCGGCTCTCAGGCACCCGCAGATCAAGTCTCGCTTACAAAAGAACAAGAACGAACTTCCAAGCTTTTCTTTACCTCGCCTGAACATGCCTGAACTACCTGGCCCCGGTTCTCACACGCCGTGGCCGTGGTGGCTCTGCTGAGTTACAAGCATGCTGCGTTGTTGGGCAGGCCGCCTGTCCTTCGGCCACGGGTGAAAACAAATCAGGTGTGAAACGGCATAAACTGAAAGCACGGCCACGCGCTTGGCGCCGAATGCAAAATAAAAGCAAAGTCCATGAGATTAGTGCTGCTCTGAGGAGAACTGAAATTCCCCTCAACAGGACCCCAAGGCCCTTGTATCAGATCACAGGGTCAAGGTGAGCAAGGGGGCAGCTCCCAACGAGTGTCCGTTGAGAAGCTGCTGACCTCAGATAAACATCATCGAAAGAGAAGGTCTACCATGACAACGTCACGATTGCTCTGATGAGTAGTCGTGGTGGTACAGTAGTAAGATGAGTATACAGACATGGTAGATGCCGTAGGAGTAGCCGTTGTAGTCCCTGTCGTCGTAGCAGGCACAGTTGCTCCTGCTCCTGCTCCTCCCCACCGTTTCCGCAGAGGCAATGTCACTTTTGTGCAGGCGACCCGGCTCCGTGACAATCTGGCTTTGGTTGTCAAGCTACTTGAGCCGCCGACCTCTTCTTTTCTTCTTTGCTCGGGTGCACCCTTTAGGCTATTGGGCCCACATTTCTGAGTAGGGACACGCTCGGCATTGGCGCGGCTACATCGACTTTTTCTCCCCTTCAAAGGGTGTCTCTTCCGTCGTGGCCATGTGCTCCAGAGGCCCGGGTGCGCTTGGTGGTTTTAATGTGCTCCAACAGAGCTGCACAAGTGCGCATATTTTCTCTGGAACCCGTATGAAGCCCTGCTCCATCTTTACTCCTCCACTGAGAGGGTGCACGCCGTGCTCCAGCCCATCATGTCCGGAGCAGCGTCTCGCCCAGAGTTCGATCTGATGCGCTGACTCGCAAGACGTGCTGAGGGAACGAGTACCGCATGCAGGTTGCTCACGGAGCAGTAGCCTTCCTGCGTTGGTTTCTTTCACTTTTCGGGGGCTTGCCAAGCGACCGTGCGAAATGACCCCGTCATCGTTCGTGTGTTTCACCTGCAAAGGGTGGCTACGCAACACCTACACACCGACATCGCCACTGCCTGCAAACACCAGAAGTCGGACTGAGACAGGGGTTCAGCTCCTTGCAGAGCAGAGGCTCTTCAAGGCAGAGCATTCGGGGGCCGTCACTGGACATCTCAAAGGCTTTGAGCCCTCACAGGAACCCCAGTCTCCATATCTCTCCATTGTCAAGTATCTCGATCAAGAGAGAAGTGCCTTCTTGGGAACTTTGATGGTCTTGGTGGGGGCCGGAAAAAGGGTCCGGCTGCCCCTGTAGAAAAGCACCTTGGTCTGCAACTTTTGGGCTTCGGGGCATTTTTCAGGCTCGGGTCCTCGAGCACTGAAGAATCGAAAGCTTTACCGAGTTTGCTCCGAGAGACAGGTTTGCACTCGTCCGGCACGCTGGAATGCATCACGCTGTTGTTCCTCTACTTTGCCAGGACTGACAGGCGGCTTCCGGCCAGAAAGACAGGAAAATGCTTTATGAGAGCATCCGAGGTTCCGATAGTACTCGATGGCTTCGCTCAACCCCTGATGCCGCGCGCACCAGCAAACCTCAGCGACTTGAACCTGGCATCCGGCGTGCGAGTTGCGGGGTGTCAGGTATGGAGTTGGACCAGCGAGTTTCGGAGCCTTGCGAGACTAAGATTCAAGAGACTCTTTTAGAAAGTGTCTCTGCTGCGGGTTCTGCATGTCCGGCATGGGTCATGCTCACTGAATCTGTGCTTCCGCCCAAGGAACGCTGGGGAAGCCCCAGTTCTTGAAGCCTGAGAAGTGCTTCCAGAAGCGGGCTACCGTGTCCTTGGTCCCTCTTCGGAGGGAAAGAAAGCAGGATCCTTTCAGGTTGTTCCTATTCACAACAAGAATAAAAGGATGCCTGACATTGACCAAGTGTCTGTATCGTGAAAGTTTATGAAGGCATAGCACAAGGAGACCTTCTCCTGGTAAGTTACGGCGGGCATGGAAAGTTGGAGTATGGCTCCCACAAGGATTCTGCCAGAGCTTCTATCATCGGGATTTTACATGGTGTGGTCTTTAGGCCTCCTTTTAATCATGGAGGGTTGAGTGTTTCGGGTCTTAGGGGTAGGGCCAGGAGGGCCCATGGACACCGAAATCCCAAAAAATGAACCGGTAACTTCGAGGAAGGCTCCTTGAAGCAAAGCGGGACGTAAAGAAAGTCGAAGCTGCCGGCAAAGCCTTAGACTCAGAGCCGATAAACTTCGGCTCTGCCACTGCTGAAAAGCTCTCTCTCACAGAAACAAAAAGGCCATGCGGTACCAAGGAGTTGTTGCTCACAGCGAATACCAGGATGTAAGGGCCATCCGGATTTGCAGATCGGACTGATCACAGATTGACCGAAGATATGATCGAACACGGTACACATCGCTTGTAGGGTTGGGGAGCTCACTTAACAGGCAGCGAAGCTTGCTGGTGGTGGGCCTTCTGACCCCCGCCGGTGCCAATACCCCTAGTGGTGGACATGAGGCCCTGGGCTTCCCTCGCCGGTCTCCCTGCCAGTGCTCTAGACGCTAGATTGTCTCCGGAGCACCATCCAAACCAGGTAGCGACGCCGTGCATGCGCATCCAAGACGGATGTGGAGAGAAGTCTAAACTCTAAGCCTGCTCCTTCTGCCAAGACACCCTCCCTGGCCAGCAAATAGATCAAGCGCCCACGAGAAAAACATGGTGGAAGGTTGCGTAGCATCACCTTCAGAAGCTCAAAAAGTCAAACTTGAAATGACGTGAGGGCTTCGAGCTGTGAAGGTTCCAGGGCTCTTTCGGGGGTTGCCTACCACTACGAGACTCCAAGAGTGTAATTGTATGAGTTTCAAGCTGTCATTGTGCAGTCTCTGCATGTGGATTCGGAGCTATCTAGCCGGCAGGGTACCAGTACAAGGATACCCATCCAGATGTGCTGGCAACCGGCAGAGCTCATCCTGAACATAAGGTCTGGGTTGCGAGTAGTGTGTCATGCTGGCTTCCGGCAACGGCAACCCTGGAACCTATCTGCTGTTTCTGGACAAGCCCGGCCCAAATATCATGTTGAAGACCGCAGAGAATGGCGGAAACGGGCAACAATACAGAAGATTAACAAACTATTCTACCGATCTATCTATCTATCTACTTATCTACCTATCTACTATCTACCGATCGATCTACCTACCTATCCATCGATCTATCTGTATATGAACATATATATATATATATATGACATGAACAGAATTTTCAAATACTGCATATGAACATACGTACGTATGTACATACATACATATACATACATACATACATACATACATACATACATACGTACGTACGTACGTACATGCGTTCATGTACGTACGTACATGCATACCTACATACATGCATACATGCATACATACATACATACATACATACATACATACATCCAATCACTGAACTTGAGCAGTTTACACTATACACGGAACGACTGTGGACGCGGCACGGGTGATGACTCTAGTCGAAACTCCATTCAGCAGCAAAACGGGGGTTCTCTTAGTTTGGGCCCCCTACTAGAAACATGTCCCTATTTGGGGGTCTGTATTGGGGTCCAAACTTTTCTGGAGCGCTCTAGGGAATCGGATCTTTGGTGCCGAAAATTCGCCGGGCTTCTCACTACTAGTCACTACTGGGCTCCAAGAACCCATCAAGAAAGCCTCGAATGCTTCGAGACCAAGAGTGCAGGTGAGCTTTTGTAGATCGATGGTTTGAAACCATGAAAGAAAGGAGCGATTTCACGATCAGGGCGCCGTTGTCCACTCTTCGGAGCTCGCGATCCATTGCTGAAAAGTGTTCGTCCTGCACAGGTGTGGGACACTTTGAGCCCAAGCCCCAAGCCCACCTCCAAGGATGGCATCCAGGATTCCAGGGGCTGGGTTTGCGGGTGGCTGAAATGTTAGAGCTCTTGGGGTTGCGGGATTGATGTTCCTGCCACCTACAGCTCAAGATTTCTCCAGTAGGCCCCCTCCGCGTCAATAAACAGTGTGTCACGAGCATTGAGTAAGGCGACTGATACTATGCTATATGCGGTTATGCTGAATACCAGTACAACCCTGCGAATGTGAACCTACTTACTAGGTCCCGTCAGCCTCCAACAGTGTTCGTGCGTGACGAGCAACACCTGCAATGGACCCGAGCCAAAATCAGCCTCTCCTGCTCTGGAGCTGTGGTAGTTCTTGCGATTGCGTTCGAGGCTGCTGTGCAGTCATCGCCTCCAGAGAGCAGATCAGACCCGCGCGAACAAGGAAGAAGCGGGAGCAGGAGCTTTGGGCTTCGGGCCTTCGGGAATCGCCACGTTGGAGTTTGGAGTTTGAGCTCTGAGGTTTGGGCGTTTTTGTCTGAGGTTTGAGAGCGTAGGTCCCCAAACATGCACCGGAGACGCAGCAAGCTGTACTGTAGCAGAGGCGCAGAGATGTGCTGTCAGTGCAATTCAAAATCCTGCTGCCTGCTCCGGGCTGCCATGAAGTCACGAAGATGTGGAGATTGAGGCTAACGGTTCAAGCCCGGACCGTAAATCTTACAGCTTCAAGGCCTGCAGCAGCGAAGCATGTGGCATCTGTGGAGCATACTTCTCGTCATCGCCGTCATCGCTTGCCCATGTGGTCGAGGACTGACTACCTGACCAAGGCAGGCTGAAAAGCTCGGCAAGCATCTTGCCAGCTAGGAGACCAGTCCAGCTCTGGGCCGGCAAACTGTTGCGAGACCCCAAAAAGGAGGCACAGAGGCGAGGTTTTCACCGCTTCAGCACGGACCAAAGAGGCGACCTGCAAATTCAGGCCCAGGCCCGGGGGCTCATGTTTCCCTTCTGGGGAGCTCTACACACGAAGTGGTTCCTCCCACTGATAGCCATCAAAGCAACAGCAGCCGTTGAAATAGCAGTGATGGCGACCTTCTGAGAAAGTTGTGGCCGTTGGAAATTGCACTACACACGTTGCCAGGTAGCAGGTAGTGCCTTCTTCGGGCCACGTCCTACACTGTTGCAGTGGCATGTGATAGCAGTTCGATCATGACGCTGAGTGTTCGGGCCATGGGACGAGGCCTCAAGCATGCAGAAGGGCCGCAGTGGTCCCTGTGCTTTCGCCTGTGCATCCTGTAAACACTGTAAAGTCAAGAGAAGCTCAGACCGAGGACATCGCGCAGAAGGCGAACACGGTAGAGCAATCCTGAAGCTTAAATCTGCCGAAGTGCTGTCGGTCAACGCCATATCATGGCCGCTGTGGTAGCCGGGCAGTGGCGGAATCGTGTGCTGCATCTGCTTGAAATACCTTCGAGGAGTGCTGGGAGAAGTGCAGCGAAACATCGGCTGGCCTAAAAAACAAATCGCAGGTGAAGACTTCGAACTCTGCTCTCTCACCTTGCACTTCAACAAAAGCCACGAAATCTCATCCAAGGGTTGCTTGCACACCTATTGCTGCCTCGTACTCTATTCTTGACTCCGAGTTGCTGCATACTTCCCTGCATCGGCAAGTGGGACATGACCTCCTGTTCTGGCTACTCCTGCGGCAACCTTGAGCATCACATCTGAGAAGCGCAAGCACTGCAAATTGGGCCAATAGCCACCGACCCAGCGAAGCTGCCGTTCACCCGTCTGAAAGGATCTTCGTTTGGCTACTTCACCAGGAGATGCCTTCAACTCAACACACAGATACGAACAAAGTCCTTGAAACCCAAATCATCCCCTGAAGTCGGGCCGGTAGGATCGACTGCATCGAATTTCCTGCGCTGCACTTCTGCGTTTGAACTTTGAAGACTGGCGCTAGGCCCCAAACTGAAACGATAAGCAGGTGGGCTCTAGGACTACGAAGACTGCTGTCAAGCTTTTGGCGTGTGTGTGTGTGTGTGCGCGCGTGTGCCGTTTGTAGAAACAGCCTGTGCCTCTGTCAGTGCAGCGCGGTGTCGACATGGTCGAGCGCGCCAGCGTACCTTAGCCATCTGCCACGGCCGGTAGGGAAGAGCCTCCGACTGAACCGTGAATCCGATGTGCAAAGAGCAATTCAAGGTGCCCGATCTCAACACTTATTTTCTGCACCCAGCTCATCATTCAGGCCCGGTTTCGCTTGTCAGACAGAGCTGGGATAGATCGTTCAGCAAGCTGGCTCTAGAATGGCTGCAGTATGTGCGTCCCATTTAGGGAGCTGCCACACTTTTGCTTGATGGATCCACCACCCTCAATATAGCCGCATCCACGGGATTGTTCCATGTGATAAGCACCATAAACTGAAGACAAAGGCAGGCCGCGCAGTGCCAACGGGCAAACAGGCACACCTTTCTGAAGTAACACAGTTGTGAATTGAGCTTCCGGAAAGCTGGGCGGCATCTTTGGCCAAGATGGCAAGGGCTCACGGGGAACCCCTTGACCCTGCCAGATGCGCAAAAACACGTCCCTGCCTGCAACGAAGGCCATATCGTCCACCATGAAATCCCGGGTGGTGTCTTTATGACTGGATTGGGGCAAGTTCCCTTTGCAGCAATCTTTGCTGCAGTAACAGTATGAAAGATGCTCATTCGTGAGGCCTTCAATGTGGTTAGCTGAACGCACGCGACTCATAAAACATCCGATTTTGAGCGCTCTCACGGGGTTTGGGATATCCGTCAGCGTGAGGAAGTCGGGTCGGATCTTCATGAACACGGAATACCGAAGGTTACACTTCGCCTCTCTCTGGAGGACAAGTTGAAGGCAGCTCCTCAGTCTCATCAACTGATTTTGTGCATCGAAAGCAAACGCAGCCGTCACCCAAGATGGCAGCTCGCCGGCAAGTTGCTCTGTGCACACGAAATATTCAGGTATAAATCCAAAGGACTTCAACGGCTCCAGTACGTGGACCTGCTGTGATTTGGAGATTGTGGAGATCCCTTTGCGAAGAAGGGCTGCGCGACCAGTTTCGTTGAACTCCTTTAGCCAAAGCTTTTTGCTACTGCTGATGGGATCAAGGAAATTCCCCCAGAGGCCCACCACCATGATCGCTGCGCCTGTGTGATTCGCACCTGCCGTTTCTTTGCACGCAGATGGCGCTCTGCTCCTTTTCAAGTTGATGGCGATCGATGCCTGGGCAGGCTTCGGCGCTGCCGACTGCACCCGAGCCAAGATGTAGTCGAAGTCAGGAGGCACGTTTGGGTGGCTCTGGTTTTCGGTGAGTATGATGATTGCATAGGACCGCCAAAGCTTAGATTCGAAGTGCTGGGAAACTTGCATAAGCAAGAAGGTGAGAAGCGCGGTAGAGATGCATGTGCAGAGAAAGCAGCGTGTGCTGCAGCAAGAGGCCATCGCATGCCATCGGATGCCATGGCCAGGTTGACCCCGCTAGACACTTGAGCCAGCGGCAGAAACAATTCTGCAATGCTGCGACCGTCTGCGAAGGTTCAGGACTGAAAGTGTTTTCGACTCCTTCTTCCGATGTCTTGAGGGCTCTGCAACGCGCCGCTGACACTGTCTCAAGGGCGAGTGCTTGCCTGGGGAAGGGCACGCTTCCGCTTCCTTCCCTGTTACATAACCTCAAGCAAGTTCTACGTCTAGCTTGAAACAGACCACATGAGCTCGCAGCATTGTAGAAGATATGCAGTGGCAGTGGCATGGATGCCACTTCGTGACTGCTGGCTCTCCAAAGGCCTGTGCCTACAAGTCTGAAGCATCACCAAGAAGGACTTTCAAGAGCCTGGGCCTGGACTGGAAACAGGAGTAGCACGAACTCCGCAAGCCTCGATCAAACACATTGTTCATGCCACAGTTAAGCCGAAAATCCTCGAGTGCCTGCGACGCGCTTCGGCTTGCCGGGCCTATCTGCAGAAGTAGTTCGAGGGCGGACCGCGAAGCTCTGGAGTTTGAGTGGTCTCCCGGGAGGCAACATGTGGGCTTTTCCCCACCCTTTCAGAAGCAGGACCCCTTGCCGATCTCACCAAGAACTCAGCACCAGAAGGCCTGAGAAAGGGGAGGCGGGCCTTAGGTCTGTGAAAAACCCGGTTCCTGCAGAAGGACCGCAACCGAAAACCCAGCCTGTTGCCACAGACTTTGTCGCAGTGTGCCAGTTCGCGCACCAACTTCGACGCACGAGCATTAGCATGCAATGCTCCCGCCCGGAAGGCTGAGCACATCGGCAACTGTGAAGCAAATGCGTGTCCGACCCAGAGCCGGCAAAAGACGCAGAAACGTTGCCGAATGCATGGCATGTCAGGTCGAGTACAAGACAGAGTTCTACAATACTACACTCGCAAGGATTATGGCCGTATCCACTACATGTCTGCACCCGCGCCTCTCCTATGGCTGACATAAGAGTTGCAAGCAGACTGGGAGATCTCACCGGCACGCCATGAAAGTCAGCTGGAAGCAAAAGCATAGGACTTTGCCCATGCGACAACGCAGGGTGTAAGGCCTTTAGAGCTGTGGGCTCGCCTGACCGTGGCTTCGCAGCAACGCTTGACATTATGAACATATTGCAGTCCCTGAACACTGCAGACGACATTGCCCACGGCTGTACACGCCGCTGTCAAGCCTTGTAACCCTGTCAAGAGATGACCCCCACTGATGAGACTCAGGCAGGAGCGTCGAACTAGCAGGGAACATCGGGAAAGCAAACCGTCACCGCGCCGCTACCGAACGCCATCCAGTAGTCGTCGTTGTCCTGCAGCGACAACTCAGGGTTTCTGGACATATATTGATAACGCTCTTAGCTTTGGATTGTGGATTTCCGAGGCCCGTAGTTCACGAAATGACAGCTCAATTCTCCTTTGCTCTGTCTCCGGCCTGGGCAATCAAAAGGGCATCAAGAAAAGTGAGACCGGCTCTACGCTTACTGGAGTGGACCTCTTTCCCCAAACGGCACTTTGTGGTTCTGCTTGGCATCTTTTTGAGTCGACAAAATCTGGAAGAGTTTCTACGGCACCCAGATGCTTAACATCTGGCTCAGGAAGGAAACCTCCCCTGAAACCGACACCCCTTGCCAAGATACCTTCACCACAGGCCCTCAATCTTCAATTCCTTAAACCTCAGAATCCTCATACCCCAGCCGAAGACACTTCAACTGAGAGGTTTGTCCTTCTGGCAGTCGCTGCCGAGGCCGTTGATCGGAAACCTCGGCTTTCGTTGGGTCCTTTTCGCAGGCGCGGGGTAGTGTGACTACTGATGAAGCGTCACCTCAAACCCTGCACTGCTTCATGAAGCCCCTGATGGGAATCGGTGCGAAAGGCCAAGCAGCGTCTTGGCTTGGAAATCGACAGAGCCGTCCCGACCGCACGGGACGTCCTGCTCGGGAATTCGACGCTCATCTTTGGGCTGTATCCTTCTTAGACGGTTTTTGTGATGTGAAGGTTCCAGCTGTTGGGAGTAGAATTGTTAAGGTTCTGGGAGTAGGGTCCCAGCGTTCAAGGCTGAGTTTTCTTGGGCCTTACAGGGCTCAGGTCTTTGCACAGCTGAAGACTCGTGGCTGTAGAGTTGAAGGGTACTGCCGAGAGCCTTCGGAACTCGACCCTCAAACCTAAGCCAACGTAACGGCCTCACGGCGCTTTAAACGGGCTTCGTAGAATCATAGCCGAGGGTCAGTCGACAAACCGCTGCTGCTGCTAGCGCCCAGGTTGTTCTTGACGGACACCAAATAAATCCTCATATTCTCATATTCGGGTGCTTTAGCGGTTCCACTGTGGAATTTTGAGGTGGCTTCGAAAGTTGAGGCCTTTGCCTGACAAGTGATGAGCTCAGAGCCAGAGAGTTTTTGACGTCTGTGAACCAAAAGGGCTCAAGGCTCTGAGACTCTTGGACCTCCTAACTTGGGCAAGCATCTTTTGTGGCGTCTTGGTTTCAATGTTCACGTATCCGTCGCTGGGGCTCCAGTCGAAGCTGAACTCGCCCCCCGGTGGCACCACCTGCCACGTTTTTCCACCCTGAGCTGAAGGAAACAGCAACCCATGACTTCAGAAGGTCCCACAACTGCTTGGACACCCGAGGACCAACCTGCTTAAAGGGAGTATACTGGGAGAAGTCGAGCTGCCTTGGTCAAAGTCCGGCCATACTTGGAGGGCGTCGCGCTGCAGGGCTCTGCGCCGCTTCCGGAGCATGACAAAGCAGTGTAGTCCTGGTGCCCCAGTGACGGAAGGGAGTACAAAAGCACGACACAACAGAGATCTACTAATTGACATGATATGCACGTATGTATGCATGTAAAAACGTATGTATGCATACATGCATGCCAATGCATGCATGTATGTCTGCATGCATGTATGCATGTATGCATGCATGCATGTATGTCTGTATGCATGCACGATGCCTGCATCCATGCATCCATGCATGCATACCATGCATGTATGCTAAGCCCCTTCTTAAACCGCTCCCCCACTCTATTGTAATCCGCTGGGGTTTGGGCCTTAGGATATGATGCAGTTCCACTGAGCTCTGACCCGCCCTGAACTCCAAGGCCAAGGATAGTCCGACACTTATCATACAATGCCAACCGTCGATACAAGCTACGAGAGAACATCAAGCCAAGCAAGCTTTTCACTTAAAGAGCAGTGGCACTACCAACAGTGACCCTCGGAATACCAGCATGCAAGAAGCACATCAGAGTCATTGTCCACTGATGTCCACAGCATCATCGCCATCATTCTCATCTGTGTGGACAGGGGGGTACGCGATTCAAGCCCACAAACTTGCGAAGACTGCGCGAGTGCTCCAACAAAACGTTGACAGATACAGGATGATGATGACGCAGACGAGCGCCATCCCCGTGACTGTTTGCTGACTGATATAGAAACAATGAATGTGGGTGTGTGTGTGTGTGTGCTTGTAACCCGAACTACATAGGGGAACTATAACCTTGCAGGCCAAGTGAATCTGCTGCAGCAATGGCAAGGGGGCCGCTTAGGGTGATTGCCAGGATTTACACGGGCATCGGCCAGCGAAGATCTCATGTTCATCCCGCGTTCGTTCTGACAACGCACCTGCACAAAACCGCTGTTGTGCTTTCGTTTGTGTCTTCCTTGCTGTTCGTCTTCGATCGTTCTTCACGAGTTTGTGCTAGCAGGGAACACGCCTCCTGGTGGGAGACCCATGTTATGTTTGAGTTTTTTTGGTTTGATCTCAGCGGCACCTGTCCTGCTTCAGTGGGCCCGCGACCGCCGTCTCCTGGATGCTGAAGCCATGAAGCTGTGCAAACGACAGCAACAGCGGACTGCACAGAAGGATGGGAGAACAGCTCAGGATTCTAGCTTGGTCCCCAATAACCCACGCTTTTTACAACCTGGGAGTCCTTGGACCATGTCACCAGAGATTGGGATGTTGCATCGTAGAAAAGAGCTTCCGACTGACCCGGGCTCGCGAAGCACGCAGAAGGATCCGGATAATACCTCCGCCAGCGGGCTCCGAAGGCTTGGGCGTAGGGTTCCCCTGTAAGGGTTTAGGAGCCTCAGGGGCTTGAGGGCTTGAGGACGCTAGGAACAAAGGTACTAGCTGTGAAGCAAGATGCTCAGACGTCTGTGCCCAGCCACCAGTGTAGGCGCAATAGGCTTCCTTCTCATCAGCGACGATGATCATCAAATAGCCGTTTTTTCCTTCCGATGTTGCATGACTAGGTCAGGTCTCCCAACATCTACATACCTGCATGTTCTAGGTGCGGCGCTGTAAGTGATTCGGGAACCTCCTTCTTGGCACTGGGTGTTACCTTCTCGCTGTCATCGAATGTCCATGCAGAGCCGGTTTGCGGAAACCGATCGGTTTGAATGCAACGTAGGGAATGTAAGGGCCTGCGGCAAATAGGAGCCCGCCAAAACATGCAAAGCATGGAGCCGACCCCACAGGACGGGCTAAAGCCTTCCATGCAAGCTTCTCCAAACCAGTGAACGGTTCCTCTTCGTCAAGTCAGCCCATTTCCGACACAAGACTCAAGGTTCGGTGACATGGAGCTGCTCCAGTGCTTCAAGCATCAGCCCCAACTACCGCATATCTGAAAACAACCGATGCACCCGTGGCTCGAATCACCTGAACATGTAAGCCCGTCCTCCCAAACACTTCTCGTAGGCGGCATTGAATCCCGCGGCGCAGGTCGGTGCCAGCTGCTCTGCTGGTGAGCCGCTCGATTTCGAGGGCCCTTTCACCTGGGCTCGAAGATCACATGGAACTTGCCAACAGCTGCAAAAGCGCAGAGCACTGCCCTGGAGCTCTGATGCTGGAAGGCTTAGGGCTTCCACGGTTTCGGGTCCGGGGTTGGGGGCCTGACTCAGCGAAACGCAAAGACAGCATTTTGTCCAAGCCAAAGCCACGACGATGGACTGGCCCTTTGAGGCCCTGGAGCCTCCGTGTGCTCGCGACTGAAGCAAGCTCACGGGCTCTCCACAGTTTTGGCACTCCTGATAGTATGTATGGATGGAAAGACGGCTGGACGGATGGGTGGATGCGTATAGAGGCATACATCTAAGTCTAGGCAAAGATAGAGATAGAGACAGAGATCGAGAGAGAGCTGGAGCTGAAGCTGGAGCGGGAGCTAGAGCTAGGTATGTATGTAAATATATACATATATATATATATATAAGTAGAAGTGTCCAACCGGACCAACCAAGGGCTCGGCTCTGTCCCTTGGGCAAACCAAGGAGTTCGGCTTCTTCCCATCCCAAAACCAACCCAAACCCTTAGCAAACACTTTCACTCCAGAGCACACGAAAGTGGCAGTTCTCCCGCGCTGTTCTTTTATCTCTAGCATTAACGAGATTGATAGGTTCTTAAGTTCTTGAGACATAGAAAAGCTGTGCTCGTTTACTTGCATGAAGATGCTCCAACTCTTCAGCAGGAATGCTTCGTCATATGCAAATGTAGAGGTGTCGTCACCTTGTTGGATCCAGGGGCGACTTTCATGCTTGACAGTACTGCAAGATATTGGCAGGTCATCCCAATGTGACCGGCCTACTACGAGAACAATGGCAAAAGTGTTGGGGAGATTGTAAAATTCCACAAAGCATATTGTTTAGTATGGAGATGAGAAAAGAAAACGTGCTAGTGAAAAAGTAGGAGAGCCTTGGCATCTGCGCTTGTAAGCGAAACACGAAGCTTTTCTCATACAGCAAGCTGTACCGAGGTATAGCAGAAGTCTACTGGTTTCTGAAATATAACAGGAGTGCTCTCTTCACAGGTTGCTCTTGCCACTGACAGATGATGAAGGAGCCTCCTCATGCCTCTTTTTCACGAAACAAGAGTTCTCAACTTGGAAGCATGTTCTCGTGGCTTCCACATGTGCATGCAACTTCTGCATGGTTTTCATTTGAAGCAGCTGGCCAGAACAACTAAAAATGTTGCATGATGCGTGTTGTGTTGCTTCTGTGCGTCTGCATATCTGCAAAAGGCCAGCAGCAGACACAAGTATCCGCAGTGTTCGGCTCCCATGCGTCAGGTACTCCATCCTGCACGCTGTTTGGTTTTATGAGAACTGTCTGCAGGGTTGGTTGTTTTGGGCACATTATACACACAGAGAGAGGGCGAGAGAGAGGGAGAGGAGGAGGGAGAGGCAGAGCGACAGAGACAAAGATATCGATTGACGGCGGCTCTCCTCGCAGCTGGCAAGGTGAAGCACGAAGGCTACGACAAAGGCTTTGACCACCATGGCGGCAAACGCAGGAAGCTTTGGAAGTGCCACGAGAGCTGTAGGGCTCGAGCCAAGTTCGGGTAGCCTAGGGTCCCACCTCACCAACCCAACACCCTGAATCTCGAAGCTCTGAACTAGAGCCGCAAGCCCAACGACCCTGAAGTGCGATTTGACGTAGCTTTCTAGCGTGGTGCTGCCGAAAGTACGGCTACTTACAGGCACGTTCTGCTGTGTCTTTGCTGTCTGCGAGCAGATTGGCAGCGAGATCCAATGCAACCCCGACTCGTGCAGGGTGTTACTGCTTGGAAACTCTACCTGTTGCCACCTTCGGGCGAGACGAGACGTCCGACTGCAAGCTCTCCGCTCTGCAAGCACGGACTTTGCCAATGCTTTGAGTTCGGAGGACTGTCAAATGCTTCAGGATTCAAAAACTGTGCAAGAGATCGAGAATTCCTTCGTGCAGCCGCGCAGCTACGGGATGGAAAAGCTACGTTTCACTTCGCGCCACCATCGGAGATCCCCGCGAGTGATTGCCACAGAGCTGTTGCCGCATGCGCTCAGCCAGGACTCGCCGTACCGCGAGTCTCTCCTCCATGGCTTCCCGCGTGCGGTCCAGCAACCTTGGCATCTCGAACGCGGAGATGGGACTCCGCGTCTGCACACACTGAACAGAAACGCGGACATGCTTCCATAAACTCACAGCCCGGGCAGTCGGGGGCAGTCGGGCCGCTGCTCCAAGACCTCTGGATCCTGAGGAGCGGCGCCTTTGGCTTCGAAGGCTCTCCGCAGCAGCCCGAGCTCCTTGCTAAGCTACGGCAAGAGTAGTGGTAAGAGTGCTCATGAGGGAGCGCAAAAAGGGGCTCCTTCAAGAGGATGCTCATTTGCCGGGCCGTCTGACCGGAGAGGCCCTCGTCGAAGCTTCGGTTCACGACAGCGTCGAAGCTTCCGCAGCTCTCGGAGCTCAGGCCCAACAAATGGAGCGTCTCCGAATCCTCCTGGCAGCTGCAGTTTAACAGAGACTCGTCGAAGTAAGCGGTGTCCCCCCCCGCCCCATACGACCTTGCTCAGCTTGGTCATGGCCCGGCTATCCAGAACCTTGGAGACCAGGAGGCCTCCAAGCTGCCAGCAGAGTTTGACTCAGAGCTTGCAGACATGCCCTCAAGGAAGCGTTGTGAGGACTGAGGCTTGCTACGAGATTGGAGGAAGATCTGTGGAAAAAAGACTGCCTGGTATCGTCAACGCGCATACAAACAGACGATGATACAATGAAAGCTTCAAGACTCCAAAGAAAGCGAAGCTCCACAAAAGCCTCAGAGATTCCAAACCCACGTGTGCGTGCGCTCATCGGGCCTGCCAGAGGTATCATAGCTGACCAAGCCTCCTGGGCTGGGATGCTGTCTCTGAGGGATTTTGCTGAATAAGTGTCCCAGTACCCTTGTGGTCCCATGTCGAGACTCTGTACTACTCGAAACAACTTCACGACCAAGCACGGTCACACGGAGAGCCGACCCTGAAGGGAAGGAACAGTGCGAAAAGGCCGAGCTTCCTGCAGCGCCTCCTCGTGGAGAGCCTCCACCTTCTGAAAGATCCTGTAGCCTGCTTTCAGAGATGGGTTCACAAGACTTGGGAACTTGGAACGAAGCTAGCAGACATCTGCCAGTGGGTTCTCAGGGCGGGAGCGGGCTGTGCCACTGCAAACTTATGCTGAGCGCTCGCGAGATTCGGATGCTTCGAAGCTCGAGATTGGAAGCGTTCGCTCGGTCTCACCTGGGTGCTGAGCTAGTATATTGTAAGTAATGGGGGCTTTCCGGCGTACAGCTGACAAACAGCAAGTTTGAGGCAGTAGATGCGTGCAGGAATGTAGGCTCACTGGCTGCAGATCCTCCGCTACCTGTTTTCAACCGAGCCTGCGCGTAGATCCACAAACTGGATTGAGCAAGAGATGTACGACTGGAGGAGTTTCACCTGGTGTGCTCTGACTTTGGGGTTTTTCCATGGGACTCAAGTGACATCCCGGGACCAAAGGTGACGAGAAGCAGACGGCAAACAACAACAACAACAACAACAACTCAACATGATGGGCATAGCAATCGCAAATAATCATGGCCAGTGGCTGCGTCGGAAAAAGCCAATGAATAGCTCTTGGCTTGCGTCAGGTACTTATCGAAAGCAGCTCTCAGCTGCCACCATGTGCTGTCGAGCTCCACAAGCAGCCAAGCGGTGCTGTCCTCCCTCCTCGGTGAAGCTTTGGATCTGTTTCAATCGGCTTTTGTGGGTTCATGTTATAAGCACTGAGGAGGCCAGCGGAGGCCCAAGAGCTGAAAACCTCCGCAGAGGCTCAGTCGGATGGACGCACGCTGCTTTCTTTGCCGCTGCTTCCACTCGTCCGAGCGGTGGTGGTAGACGCCAAGCAGATGATTCCTGGGGACAGGAGCACCAAAGGGCCTCGTGAAACCCTCGCCCGAAAGATCCAATTCATTCCAAGCCCGGACATGGCTCCGGGAGCGCGACAGGGTCTCCATGGCCCTGGCAGCAGCAGCCACCTCTTCCGCCACCGCATGGCTACCTTCATGGAATCTCCCGCAGCTTTCTTAGCAATGCCGCGATGCTCTCTACTACCCCGCCTCGCTCCAGGCCCTGTCCACTGGCGGAGAGCAGGGCGCCTGAAAGTTCAAACCCAGCGTCCTGTCTCATCTACACTTGCCATTGCATCAGCGTTGTCGACTTGGCTTCGGCTCGGGACGCTTCGAGGCCGCTAACCATGAAAGCACCAAGCCCAAGTAGAACCTGAAGGGGTGCGGCGCTAGGCCCATTTCGGCCGAGGTTGGGGAGAAAAGAAGTGGCATCCCTGCCAGCGAGCAGCCATGCAGCAGGTCTTCCTTGTCGATCCTGAGTCCCCGGGTGGTTTTGGGCTTCGGGCCCAAAGCTGAAGGCGCATCTGCCGCCCAGGAGCAGGTGCTGCAGGCTGGCATTGGACCCAGAGGGCTCCAGGCCGGCCATGAAGCCTTGCCACGTGCTTTCTTCAGAAAGCTCACCACAACCACTCTACCACTACCAATATCTCCACCAGCATGATAAAGGCAAAAGCTGCAACAAGCTGAGTCAGTCCGGAACGACCCTGTCGGCATGAGCCCAACAAGCGGTGGGTAACTCTCTTGCAAATGGAGCTCCATAACTCTAGGTATCGGAGCCTCGGTAAGTTCGGGAAGCGGAGGCGAATTTGGGGAGCAGCATCGTGAAAGTAATTACTGAGGTGGGGAGACGACTCAGCGATACGCTGCAGTCCGCACAGGTCCCAAGATCATCGAGCTGCCCACCCTACACCCTGAACATCCCGAAAACCTGAAAATCCACACAGAAAACCCCTATATAAACCTTAAAACGCCCTGTCAACACCGGAAATCCCTGTAGAACATTGAAAATTCCTCTATGAACCCTCAACACCCTCCTACAAAATTCCCCCATGTAACCCCCTGAAATCCGGGCGGCTCCGGAGGGCTCGCTCCGAGGAGGAGCGCCCCGCAGGGCTAAGCCGACCAAAGGACAGGAGCTTGTGCCTCATTCCGGGAAAACGAGACACATCGGAGTTTGGCGTTTGGGGCTTTGCAGCCTCGTTTTCTCACCGGGAGGAGTGTCTGCTTCGTACCATTGAAAGGTTCTCCGTCTTTGCCAGGGTCCGCATGTGCTTGGCCAAGGCGCAGACGCGCCAGCCTCGAGTTCAGCGACCTGGGCGTGGCCGGACAGGTCTCGGGCCCGGTTCGGGGTGCTTTTGGCTCAAGGAGCAGAAAGGGCTCAAAGATCTCTGCAGGACTCGGAGCGGAGCCCAGGAGAAGCCCTGAAAGCTGGAGCCCAAGAGGAGCCTCCGGATGCCCTGCAGGTCCAGGCCGCCGCCGGCGTCTGGGCTCAAGTCGCTGATCTCGTCCTTTCCATGGCGCGAGGCATCTCATGGCTTCTGCAAGACTCTCGGGTGGCCCGGGCCCCGAATGCCCGAATTCGGGGCGGGGAGGACCTCAAGTCTGTCTCCGCGTCCTTCAAGGCATCCAACTTGGAAGTCAACTTCTCGGTCGAGTACTCGGTCAGGAGGTCGAAGTTCCTGACTCGCTGCACTCTGCCCGTCGCTTCACAACCCCAGCGCAACCAGGATTCAAAAGACAAGACAGCTTTGTGAGAAGGCTAGTTGGTAGAGAGGATAGTCTAGTTGAACACCCACTGCTGTACAAGGTGAGTGCGATAGACTTAACCATCAATCCATCACATGCATGGGCTGCCCAAAATCGCCCTACCCTTTAAGACATGCCCTCTCGCGAAAACGTTCAGCAAGCGTAGACCTCGAAATCATATTGACTCATGAAGTCTCAGGATTGCCCAGATCTGTAAAGGCAAAGTCCCTGCGTGTTGGTGCCGTGCGTGCGATACATGCATATACATAAAGCAGCAAATGAAAACATATATATATATATATATATACATATATATATATACACGTACGTGCATGTAAACATATATACATACATACATACATGCATGCATGCACATAAATGAATATATGCATACATCTCTATAAATATATATATATATATGTATATATATATATATACATATATATATATATACATATATATATATATATACAGGGTCTGGGATCGAGTGTGACAACAGCGTCCACATTGCCTGTGACCCCAGTGCTCGTTGAGCACGATCGCTTCGCTTCGCTGCCATACCGGACTCGCCTGCTTGGCACCGGAAGCTCCGACGTCGGAGATCGATAGCCCGGCAGAGGCTTCACCGTTCTCGAGCCAAAGGCCAGCGACCCCTCGCTGCGGACTTGAGGCGCCTCACCCAGCATCACGCTCGACCAGCATATCGCGAGCTCATGGGCAAGAAAGACAACCGTAGAGGATGGAACGCAGACTCCGATGCCTATGGTTGGCCTCGATCATCGGGTGGTCGCTATGGCAAGGGCAGTGGCAAGGCCTGGGGCCAAGAAACGGCCTGGAGAAAGGGCCAGCCGCAGCAGGAGTCCATGTTTCCTGCCTTCGACAGGATGCCGGCATCTTCCAGTGGGGGAGATCGGCATGCCCACTGGGACGGAGCAGAGCACGTGGACCAGCAGGAGAGGTCCCGAGGGGCCGGCGACTATGTCAACGGCGTCCAGAAGGTGCTCAACAATGTCCGCAAGGCGGAAGGAAGAGCCCGTCGCCTGGCTGCAGATCGCAAAGCCATGGACGAGAAGTGGACGGCCTTCCGGGAGGAGCTCAAAGCTTCCTTTATCAAAGAACGGGGACGCTACAGCGAGAAGGTGGCAAGGCTCGAGCAGGACATCGAGGAGAACACCCTGGCGAAGAACGAGGCCCTCGAGGAGCTCCAGATGATCATGCTCAAGCCCAAGCAGGCCAGGAAGAAGGACCAGACCACCGAGGACAAGGCGGCCCTTGCCGAGCTCGAGAATCTCCTTCAGGAGGAGGACGAGAACAGTGGAGCAGGCTTAGCGGCCATCCTGGCAGCGGCGGTTGGAGACGAGGGCTTGAGCGACGATGCCAAGAGGAAGCGGATCCTGCGGGCCATCGAGGAACACAAGGGAGAGGACGAGCCTCGAACCCCCAGACGGCGACGACCTGTCTTCCGCGCCAGGACCCCACCGGTGGACAAGGAGAGAGAGAGAGCAGCGAAGGAAGAGCCAACGGAGAGCACGGGGAAGGCCCACTATGGCGCCGAAGATTGCCACATGGAGGACCCCTACATGAACTCCCCATCTCTACGAAACGTGCTTCCGGCGGCCGGAGAGTCATATCAGCGGGCAAGGTCCAAGAGCCGCACAAGGACCCCGATCAAGTGTTTTGGCCGCAAGCCGGTCAAGCCCGACTCGAGGCGAGCCCTGACTTCCCGGCTGGAGGCCAAGAGGATGAAGGACATCGAGAAGGCAGAGGCGGAGGAGATCGCGGACTCTGGGGAGGACTCAGAGGAGGCCCTACTTCCTACTTGGTGCTCTGCCAAAGGGGGGGACCATTCCATATGGTCCAACAGTGGAGTGACGACAGCGGGGAATCCATTCGCCCTCGGCTGTCTGTGGGACGGCGGAGCAGAGATCCCGGAGTTTGTCTTGGAGACCTCCGATGACTTTGTCCCGCATGGCGGCTTTTTCGGTGCGTCCGCCTTATATTCAGAGTGTTCCAACTTCTATGGGGAACACGTGGTTACTACACATGAGCGGCTTTTTCGGCCTGTCCGTGAATGTGATCTTTTGTGTGGGCTGGCGGTTCCGACCGAGCCCGCAAACGGCGATAAGCAGCACTTTGCTGCGACGCGGTTTTGGGACATCATGGATGTCCATGAGGTTTTCATGGCCAGGGCGAAGGCCTGGGGATGGCATCTTCTGATGATTTCCGGGCAGAGGGGAGCCGAAGCGGCGCTAACCTTGATGGTCGTGCTGCTTTGCTCTTTGGTTCTGGCTTTGGGCACGGCAAGCGCTTTGCCGGCAAGATCCAGATTGCGGCCGCGCCGCGGAGGGTGTATACACCCATGCCTCCGGCCTCTACTAGCCTTTGCCCTGATGACCACGGCACAAGCCATGCCTCTCCCAGATCCTGGTGGTAGAAGAGGTCGGATGCCGACGGTGGCGAGCTGTCCCAGGCCTACGGATGTTGAGTTGTGGCTGTCAGGACAACTGACGGTCAGTGAGCAAATGGCCCGAGCCCTTGAGGATGTGGTCCTTGGTGCTCCCCTGGAAAGTGGTGGCACTCGAGCTGAGGAAGGCCCCCGACGCCATCCGAATGCTGACCCGCCCTCTCCGGTTGACGAGGAGGTCGACTGGCACTGGATCGGGGACGATGAGGAACGGGCAGAACACATATCTTTCTGGATCTGCTCGCCCTTCTTTGAGAGTGTCTCGCTTGACGTGGCAGTGGAATTCCCTTTGGAACAGCAAAGGGCTTTTGAGATCATCCAGGACTACACCCTGGACCTGCCGACGACGCTCCTAAGTTGTGTCTACGCCGTCCGGCCTCAGCTCGCGGAAGAGTATGGTTCAGTGGTACTGGTGCCGCCATGGGTGCCGCTCTCTGGCAAAGTCGCGGTGGTAATTGACGGCCGTGAACTGGGGGAAGGAGTGCAGTGCATCTATGTGAGCGGTCCGGTCACAGACCGGATGGTGAGAAAGCACGTTGAAGGAAGGTATGTGGACATGCAGTCCCTTGAGGACAGCTATTTCCACCGACTGGATCGAGAGTGCCCACGGACTGCCAATCAGGTTGCGGCGGAAGCCTTTGGCATGAACATCGACAGTTTCTGGGTCAGGGCCCCGGAGGAGCGGCCACGACGCCTCTACCACCGAGGGCGCAGGGTCCACAGTCTCATGGCCATTGTCCCCGGGCAGGACTACCGCCGTGAGGACAGTTGGGTGATCTTTGTGGACTCCGATGACAGTTTCGATGCCGGACAGTACATAGAGAGTCTTCAGCTGCCCTATGTCAATGACTTCTCCCTTGTCGTCCACGGCGGAAGACGTCGCAGAGATGGACGTACAGTGAGGATACAGGATGGGGAGTTGCTGGTGGTGACTCTGGTACGATCGTCGGAGCTGACGCCTACGGCATTTGCAGCGGATAGCTCTGACGACTCCGGCTCGGATTCCAGCTCTGGCGGTACTGATCCCCTGCCACACTCCAGCGACTTCAGTACGGGACCGCCACCACCGGGGCCGGGCCCGTACGGCCCTCCACAGCCGAATCCGGTCAACCGCCGCAGCCGAAGCCTTCGGGGAAGGCGTATGGAGGAACACGAGTGTGCGGAGCAGCATCAGGATTTGGAGCCCCGAACAATCTGCCTGCATACCGCGATTGGGCCTCCCACCTATGACATGAGTGCCATCCAGGTTGCCCTCCCACACTCGGATGGTCACCTGGAAGAGCTCTTCAAGCCGTGGGACTTTAGCTGGCTGGAGTACGATTTGGTGGGCATCAAGCTGCCAAACTGTACAAGGGAGGCAGTTGACAAACATGTTCTATGGCATGAACTTGCTGCCGGTCTACCCCCAGGCGAGTTTCCTGACGTCCACATCTACACCGATGGATCCTGGTGCGGGAAACGGGGCATCGGAGGGTACGCGGTGGCGATCCTCCTTGTGACCTCAGCGGCCACTGCCTTGTACGGGGTTCTTGGAGAGCAAGTGCAAGGCAACGCAAGCACCATCTGGGATTTCGCAGCGCCTCCTGCCCTACAGAACGAACAGATCGCGATAGCAGTTTCCATGCTCTGGCTCTTGCAGGGAGCTAAATTCCTCCGGTTCAGTCAAGCTGTGGTGCATTTCGACTGCACTGCTGCTGGCTGGGCAGCTAGTGGCAAGTGGGCTGCCCCGAACCCCTTTGCTCGGCAGACACATGCCTTGGAATTACTTCTACATGAAGTCATGGAACCGCCGCCAGTCCTCAGCCATGTTGCTGCCCATTCTGGGCATCCCTACAATGAGCTGGTGGATGTTTTGGCGAAGCGTGTGTCGGAAGGGCTGATCTATTTGCCAAGCCCTCCAGCGTATGTCTGCAGGACATTTCTGGACACCGACTGGTCGTGGGCTGCCACTGTGGTGCGGAACCACTGGGAACCCTGTCTGCCCTTGAACCGGGCGAGCATACAATGGCACCCTGAGAGGCAATGTGGTCCTGCGGCTCTTCGTCCTGAACAGCTGGTCCCCACCAAACCGGTCACGGGAGGCAATGCGGGCAGCAAAGGAGCTTTCTACCTCCGGGCCATGACGCTTAACGCCCAGAGCTTGGCTGGCAAGCACAGGTTCTATGAGGAACAGCTTGACGAGCTGGAAGTGAACGTCGCCTTCTTTCAGGAGACCAAAGGCCATGAAGGTTTTGTCAAGAGCGCAGCCTTCCTCCGGCTGTCTTCCGAGGGGCAGAGACATTGGGGAACCGCGGTCTGGGTCAGCAAAACCAGGGGCATTTTCATGCTCGATGGCAAACCCTGCCCTGTTGACGACGCCAACATCCGAGTGGTGCATGACTCCCCCAGGCTTATTATCCTTTCAGTCGATGTCTCTGGATGGAAGGTTGTGCTTGTGGCGGGCCACTGCGCCCATTCGGGGCGACATGAGGAGGCTGAGCTCTTCATCGCCACTTGCGAACAGCACTAAAAGCCATTGCGCCGAAGCGCGCTCCTCACTGGTGGGCTAGATCTCAATGGCAGGGTGCCAACTGGGGTCTGCCATGTCACTGGTGACCTGGTCCACGGTGAACCAGACAGGAACGGCAGTGCTGCTATCGGTTTGGCTCGTGCGGCTCAGCTCTGGTTCCCTTCCACCTACAGCAGATTCCATGTGGGGGACAGCGCTACCTACAGACAAGCTAATGGAGCGGAGCACCGCATCGACTACGTCTTCATTGGCTGCACGGCAGAGACCTACGGTGTGCGAAGCTGGGTGGAAGACGGTTTCGATACAGGAAATCCTAACGAGGACCACCACCCGGTATGTCTTGACGTGTCTGGGCTGCTGCCTGGAGGCAGCCGAGGAGCAGAGGACGGCAGAGTATGGAGGCCATCTTTCAACACCGAAAAGATGCTGACGGCCGAGGGGAAGCAGCTCCTGAATGAGGCACTCAAGTCGCACAAGCAACCCAGTTGGTCTGTGCACCCAAGTGATCATTGTCAACATTTGCAAGAATTCCTCCAGAGTACCTTGGCAAGGCTTTTCGCCAAGGAGACGGCCAAGCCGAGGGCCCAGTACATCCCTGAAGAGGTCTGGGCCATCAGGGAGGGTAAGCTTCGGCTGAAGCGCTGCACCAGGGGGAGAACCAAGCTATGGTCCGACTTGGTTGTACGAGCCTTCAGCCAATGGAGATGTGGTGAAGATTTTGGTGTGGCCCTTCTTGTCAGCCGTCAGGGCCTTCTCTACGAGATGTCTGCTTTGGCGATTCGTTTTGCTACTGCGCGCATCAAGCAAGGAATCTCCAGTGGCAAAAGCCATTTCCTCAAGGGCCTTGCGACCTCTGGTGGAGGCAAGGCGGGCGAGATCCTCAAGACAGCCAAGAAAATGGGCATTGGCGGAAAAACGGCCAAAGACGTCGCCCGCCCTCTGCCGATCTTGCTCGACGCCACCGGGCAGCCAGCGTCCACATGGCGGGACAGGGACAAGGTTTGGCAGCAGCACTTCGGCAAGCAGGAGGCTGGCGAGGTCACGCAGATCAGCGAGCTCATTCTGCGCGACGCCCAGCTCCCGAATGTGGACCCGGATATGGAGTGGGACATCCAGGACCTCCCCTCCTTCTTTGAGGTCGAGGATGTCTTCCGATCGACGAAGAGGAGGAAAGCCACGGGGCTGGACGGCATCCCGCCAGAAGCCCTTGCAGCTGCACCGACAATGATGGCCAAGCTGGCCCACCCCCTGATGCTCAAGGCGGCGGCGCTGCTGCATCAGCCCTTACAGTGGAGAGGGGGATTGCTCCACGAGATGTGGAAACGGAGCGGCCCGCAGTCCTCGCCCGATTCGTACCGCTCCATTTTCATATCCTCTCACCTGGGCAAGAGTTACCACCGACTTCTTCGAGAGCGAGCCCTCCCATTTGCGTCCCGAGCACTACACAGTTTTCACCTCGGGGCTCGACGGTACGCGCCGGTCACCTTTCCAGCCCTGTATATCCAGGGCCATTTCAGGTTTTGCCGAGATCGGAACCTCTCGGCATCGCATCGGTGCTGTTCCTTGACATCCAGTCCGCCTACTACAGAGTTATCAGAGAGCTCTCTGTTGGCCACATTGAGTCGGACGAGGCGGTGTGCAAGCTCTTTGATTACTTTGACATTGAGCCGGCCGAAGCCAGCGAGTTCCTTGACGAAGTAAAAGGTGGAGGGACAATGGCCCAAGCGGGGATGAGGGGCCCGTTGCGACACCACGCAAAGGATGTCATGTACAACTCGTGGTTTACCACGAGATACGGGGGGCCGAAGCAGGTGGTGGCCACCTACGCGGGCTCACGCCCAGGAGAGTCGTGGGCGGATCTGGTTTTCGCTTTCGTGCTGGGCAGGATCCTGGCCCGCATCACCGAATTGGCTTCCGGAGAAGGCCTGCTGACTGAGCTCGGCGTCACTGTGGAAGGTGGTCCTTTTGTGGAGGTGCCTGGCAGCGACAGATTGGAGGCCCAAGACAGTACATGGGCCGACGACGCTTCTTTCCCGTTGGCCGATGGTTGCCCGGAGGTCTTGATGGCGAAGACGTCCCGGCTGTGCTCCCTCGTTCTGGACTACTGCAGCCGGCACGGCATGAGGCCGAACTTGACACCTAGAAAAACGGCTTTGCTGATCGCCTTGCGTGGAAAAGGGGCGACGAAGGCAAGGGCAAAGTGGTTTCGTGGAGGTCGTCGGCAAGTTTACCTCAGGGACTTGGACTTGAATGTACCTGTGGCGGCACAGTACGTCCACCTAGGTGGACTGGTGGAGCCGGCCCTGAAGTTGCAAGCCGAAGCTAGGCGCAGGCTTGCTATCGCCAAGTCGGCTCTAAATGCGGGCAGCAAGCTATTGTACGGCAATGCGACCATCCCGCTGCAGGTCAGGGCCGCTCTTTTCGAGGCCACCGTCACGGCCTCCTTCTTCAACCTGGGCCTGTGGATACCGGAAGGCCCGGGGTGGAAAGCCCTTGAGGACGGCTATACGAGGCTCATCAAGACCCTCCTGGCCAAACAATTCAAGGGCGAGCTCTACTACAAGCTGGTGGGGCCGATGATCCACATCCTGACCGGGATCCCCCGTCTGTACACCCTGGCCAAGAAGGCAAGACTTAGTCTCCTGACCTCCATGGCCAAAGCTGCACCATCAGCGCTGTGGGCGATGCTTCAGGGGGAGCAACGATGGCTGGAAAGGGTCAGAGGTGATCTGGAATGGCTTTGTGCGGGCAAAGGAGCCTGGCCAGCCCGAGGGCAACAGCACTGGCCAGAATGGCTCCACCTGTTACGAGACCGCGGTCCATGGGTCAAGCGCCAGATTCGGCAAAGAGCTATGGCCGAGTTTGAACAGTTCTGTGCAGAACAGAGGACGTGCCTTGCGTTGTGGGCTTTGTACAAGAAGACTGCTCGTGCCGCTCCTTTGGAGAGTAGATCCGGCGGTGGATGGCACTGCAGGATTTGCTCCAAAGGGGTGAAGAGTAAGGGAACACTTGGAGCACACTTCTTTTAAGTCCACGGCCGACGTGCTCGTTACACGCAATGTGTGTCTGGCTCCCTGTGCAGAGCCTGTGGCCGCCAATACTGGTCTCGTACCAAACTTTCCATTCACCTAAAGGGATTCACCTTCTTGCGTTGAGACCCTCCTGGGCCATGGCCTCCAGGCTGAAGAGATGGCCCCTGGTTTGGGCAGCAAGCTTTGGCGCTCCATTGCGGTGGAAGATTTTTCACTTGCGGTGCCGGAGACACAGGTTGCTCCCTTGGAGCGTAAGTCCGACCAAGGCTGGGATGGAGTGGTTGAGGACGCCTACAAGGCCATGTGCGAAGCTCTACTTGTGCAAGGACTCCCACCGGTGGAGGAGGAGATGCTGCAGCTTTTCCGCAACACCCTGGCGAAGTTTCCCCTCTACTTTGCCGAGATGGTCGATGTTGTGGAGCATGTGGGTCAAGAGATACGGCAGGTCTTTGCTGCGGGCGAGCATGATCATTGGACTGCCGAGACCTACGAGGTGCTTTGCAATGTGGCGGACAAGTTCTCGACTACCCCATGGCCTACGGGAAGTGAGGAGGCTAGTGAGGCCTCTGCCACGGAGACATTACATGACTTCGCCATCGCAGTCGACAATGTTGACTGGGAGAGGCTTGTCAGTGGGCTTGCTAGGGACCACATGACCCCTGCTGACGTTCCTTGTGTTCTGGACGGCTCCTGGGAAACTGTTTGGGAGCGAGCCAGTGGGACGTTGAATGAAACAGTTGTGGCCCAGTCTTACTGGCCCCTAGTGCCGAATGAGCTCAGGAGCTGTTGGGAGTCTGTGCTAATAGGCCGGACCCCGCGTATAGAGGCCCCTGAAAGTTTCTGGCGGCACAAATTATCCCTGCCTTTTAGGCAGTGGAAGTCTTGTGCATGAAATTAGGCTGCGTACTTCCTCTGACA